CTATCTTTATTAAATTTAGTTGTAGGAATTATATGTTGATCCTTTAAAGGTTCTGTAGATTTTCTCCAGCAATATTTGTGTCTTTCAGCTCCAAAAAGTTGAAATTTAGTTTCATTAGACCAGACCACCATACTCCAATCTTCTATAGTCCAATTTTTTTGTAATTTTGCAAATTCTAATCGGATTTTTTTGTGTTTTACTTAAAAAAGACTTCTTGCGCCATGTATAAGCTTTAAATCTATTTTTCTTAAGAATTCTTCGAATTGTGTTGACACTAATATTATTTTTTCATATTTTTTCAAGGATCTATATATATCCATAGCTGTTTTGCATTCTCCTTTTAGAATTTTTCGGATAATAATACATTCCTCACATAGAGTAAGTTTAGGTGAATGACCAGAAATAGGTTTATTTTCTAATTTGTTTGTTTCAAGATATTTTTTTTTAAGTCTAGATATAGTGGAATAATAAACATTATTGCCAATTTTGACAGCAACCTGATGTAAACTATAACCTTCTTCTAATAAGATAATAGCCTTTGCCCTCTTCTTTATAGATAACTGTCTTGAGGATATTTGGTTTATACAAGGTTTGAGTAAATTTTTGTATTTTTATATTTTTACCCAAAAATGCCAAAAGTTGTACAATAGTAAATTTTTATTAATTACATCATAAAATTTTTTATTATTATTTTAATCACTATTCTATCATATACACTGAATAGATTAGACTATATACTGTATATACTGTTAATTTCGCTGTGATTTGATCTGATCTGATCAAAATTTTAACACTTAAAGATCAATGATCAGGTGTTGCGTTCTTTTGGGAGACGGTGTATATTGCCCAGCATTTCTATGAAATCCATCAAAATATACGCAGAAATTTTAAATATATTTCATTGCATCATGGATGTGGAACATTAGATAGTATAAAACAAATTCTTAAAGATATGTATAATGATTATAAGCCTCTAGCAAAAAAAGTTTATTAAGTGATAAAAAAATAGTTCGTGGTTATTGATATCCGAAGACCATTTGATGACCCCTTATTAATTAGATTTAGATGGGACAAACCTTTAAAGAATTGGCAAAATGATTGAATTTGGGATAATTTGTGTTTTGTGGTCTCATCCATATCCATAAAGTAAAGTTTCATAGGGGGGTAGTCCTGTCTTTTGGTTCTTCTGCATATTGGATTGGAAATCCATAACTCTGATTTCTATTTAAGGGTATTTTATAGTTCGGAATATTTTTTCTTCATTGTAAGGTGGGTTGGAAGAATATTGATAAGAAAATATGTGCTATATGATATATATAACTAGTTATACTACTGTAAAGATAAATGCATACTGAAAAAACAAGAAATAAGGTAATCCTGAAATTGTTTCAGGACCAATAATACTGTTATCTTTCTCTAATCCACTAACACCTCCAAGCACTTTAGACTTGCTGGATATTTTTAAGATCTGCTTAGCTAAACGAGTATTAGTCTCTTGAAAGAGGAAATCTTTTTTTGATAATGTCTTTTCTAGGCGAGTATTGACATCTTGAAGGTAATGGTCTTTTTTCTGATATTACTTTTTGCAATACCTCCAATATATCTTTCTTAGCAAGTTTTTTATCGAGTTCCATTACTTTATCTTCAAGCCCAAGCTTACAGACAATACTTCTTAAATTATCATAAAGCCAATCTGATAGCTTTTGCATTTCTACCGCTTCTCTATCACTCCTCCCATTACATTCCAATCATAATATGTACGCTCTAGATCTATGTCCTCTAACTTGCCTTCCAATTCACGTACTTTAACTTCAAGAAAGAGAATCTTGATCTTGTCAGCGGACAAATTTTTCTGGGTCAAAGTTGTCTCTCTCTCTAGTAATTTAATATTTGATTTAAGTGATTTGATTTCAGTAGTATATTTGGCTTTAAGCTCAGTATTAGCTGTATTTAGCTGACTAAACTTATTGTTAAAGCCAGAACTAATACGATTAAAATCCTTTATTTGATTTATATATACTGTACATCCTGCAAGTTTTTATAATTACTAGCAATATCAAAAGTAGTTTTGATGCTACCACACAATGCTTTTTCAAGTTCTAATTCATGAATACTACCAAGCCGACGACCTGGAGGGATCTGTTTACCTAGTGATCTTCCAACTGCTTCTCTATTCTCGATATCTTTTAAGGTATGCACATTGGACATAATTTTTTTCGACCTAGTTATTAGTATACTAAAAAATTATGAGCAAATTTTTGAGACCACATGATCCTGGAAACACTTTATTTTTTATGGATACTAGTATATTACTGATACTATAGTCAGGACTTTTACTCAATATGGATGAGGTCGATCATTCCTTATATAGTATAGAAACATGACATAGAATATTTCAGGCACTTCTAAGGTTTTCCATAAAAAGCACTATTTTTATTGTCTGGAGCGAAACAGAGGGCATTCAGTTTCTAGGTACTAGGGGGATGAATTTTATATCTTTTCCATGCACTCGATATAAAGTATTCTTTGTATAAAGGATTTGATAATTAATAAAAAATCTATAAATGATGAGTATATATTACTACAAGTCGATTCTTCTGAATTAATCAATCCTGAACTATTTTTTTCTTCAAAAAACAATTATTGCAGAATTTAAAAAATAATTAATTGTATAATAAATAATTCAATGAATTTATATTAGTCTTGATGCAAACCTGTCTATAATACAATTATACATACAGTATGTAATAAAATTTATTTTCAAGCTTATTTAGAGCGTAATGTATAAAAAGTTTAAAAAAAGTTTAAAATAAAAAATTGTCACGTTTGATTATTTTACTTATCTTAAAATTACCCAAAGCAAAAATATGAAAAATTCACTAAATTCTATTAATCCTAATGCACTTTGAATGCGAAGAATGAGAGAAAATAATACACACGGCTGGCCTTTCATTCGTGATAATTTCTAGAGTCCGGGCACTCTATGATCTTCTCTTTCAACCATTCTCTTTTGAAAGACTTCAACAAATTAAGAATTGTGCAAGATTAAAAGAAAGACTACAAGAGGAAGAGTGGCTTTTTAAGATTTCACTTGATGTTTAAATTTTTTATTTATTTATTTAATTAATTATACTTAATTGATTACTGTTACCGTTACATTTTAAATTACATAATTGCATTCGTTCAGGGGATTACAAATATAATAAGCTTGAATTAATTAAAATATAAAATATTAGATCACTTTATTTTATTTGAGCATGTGTCAATTTAAACTTAGTAAAAAGGATGCTCCGAATTCCAATGGTTTCCATTTTCTAGTCGGATATTTTCTTACATGATACATTTTATGACCTATCACTTATTATTATTATTCGACTTGAATAACAACCTTACCTCTTCTAATATTTTTGACAACTCATCATGCCTTTTAGACTTAAATCTGATATATTTTTTCTGAATGCTTTCATTTATCTGTTCAAGGAGAGTTTCTATCTTCAAAACAATTTCTTCTTTGGACAAGTTTGTATCATTTTCTTGTGTGATTGCTTCTTGTTTGGTAATCGGTATTGGCCATCAAAATAAAGAAGCTTGGTTATTATTGCAAAAAACTTCAATAATATATTCCTGTTGAGCTTTCTTTGCTAAATCAGTAAAATTTGTCAGTTTTGTACTCAATTTATATTCATTTTCTAAGTTTTTATACTCAGTTCTTCCACCTATCAAATTGAGAAAATTGTCTTTACTCAAGTAGGTTCGGAATCTTTAACACTCTGGGTTTATATCTGGCCATATCCTTGGGCTGACTGTTTGAAGATCATTATATCTGACCACTTTGAAAAAATTGTTTTGCAGCTAAGTTTTGACAATTATAATGAATGTTAATATGAAATATTAGTAATTGAAGTAATATTTTAATTACCTGTAAGAATTTTTTACAATTATGTTGCAGCAATCTTCCAGTGGTGCATTTGTGGGACAGGTGATATCAATGTTTTCAGCATCTTATTTTATTTCTTTCAAAACAGCATCTAACCCTTGATATTGATAAAAAGTCCCGATCAAGAGACTATATTGTTGGTTTCTATAATATTTCGTATAGTTGGATTGAGTCACATCAATTGTGCTTCATCCATGACTTTTATCAAACAGTATATTGAATGACTTCACCCTGACCATACTGATGAAAAAACCCTTTGTGCAGCTCTCTTAAGTAATAGGTTATTTGTTCTGACCACTGTTTTGTAATTAACCACAGCTTGCAGATATTTAAATATCTATAAAAAATAGATATAGAAATTAATAATTATAAACAATTTCTTTAAAAAGAGAATTTAAGACTATCTGTTCAAATTTTATTTGATAAAGCACATCAGTTTATCCTTTTACCCAAGTCAAATACCCTTTTACTGATGGATAAAAGTATCTCTTTATATATGGCCACATCAATTCTATAATGGTTGCTTGATGATAAATGTGACAAACTAAATCCCAAGCTTTGTAATAATCACCACATTTTTGAAGTAAGCAAATTAATTTTCTGTTTTATATTCCTGGCATATTGCAAATTGTTTGAGATCGATGTCCCTTTTAAAATAAAAAATTTTATTACTAAAAGAACATAATAATAAAGACCTTTATACTAGAATCTATCAATTTAATTCGACATATGCCCAAAGCATATTTATTTCTTTGTGTAACTGTTCAGGAATGAGAATTAACCATGGATATTTCTTTCTTATTTTCATTATATGATAATATGGAATACTATCACATATTATAGCAACCTACTTGCATATTCCCTCTTTGATTCCAGATATTTGCTTGATATGACAAAAGACTTTCTCAATATTTACGATTGAATTAGAATTAATTTCAAGAGGATCGGGTATGAAGATTTCTGAAACATTAACTTCTTGATTAACAGATAATCTCTGAGTAATATTGATTTGGAATGGAACGAAATGTCTAGTTTCTTTATTAAGTTTATAAAATCTATATAAAGTCAATTGATCTGATTTATCTTTTTTTGATTCTGTAACTTGCTTTTTCAGCAATTCCACCAATGTAAATAGATGCACTATACATTTGGACAAACTTGCTTTCAATTATTGATGTCCTGTTTTTTACAGTTTGGACACTATTTGTTGTAGCAATTATTCGATCTAGTATTAGCTATAAGAAAATCAATTGTATTAACTATAGATAACTTTTCTTCATTCAATGAATTAAGAATTTCAAAAAGATAATTATGTAATTCTTTATTATAACTTCTTGTATCTCCGATGTAATGTTGAAAAAAAATTCATATTGTGACTTACTAAGAGAACTGAAAGCCCAAGATGTATTAGAACATTAAATATTGTTTTGCAAACTCATATTAAAAGCAATGAAACTAGTAATAATGTAAAAAATCACTGTATTATATCCACGATTGAGATAATTTTTCTGCCCTTTTTGTTTATTATCGAAAACAACAAATAAAAGTTCTTTAGATAACTATTCCTCTCTATCAAACAATTCTTCTAACCAATTTTGAAAATGGAAATAACTTCCTAAATTTGTAATATAGTTGTCAATATTAATAATTGTTTTTGATCATATGATAAAATACTTTATAGCTGATACTGCTAAATTCATTTCCAAGATATATTTTTCATATCTAGATCCATATATCAAATTGATAGCTATAGCAAATTTGTAAAGTTTCTTGATATTCAAAGCACTTATATTAAAATCATTATAAGTTAAATTTTCAATAAACTTTACAATAACTAGATTATATTTATTATGCCAATCTTGTGATGTATAACGTAATAAGCATTCTAATGAAAACTTGTTATTATCTTTAATCAAGGATTTCACATTCTTGTATAAAGATTTTTACTTAATCTCTGCAATATCGACAACTGCTTATATGCGTTTTTGCTGATTGTCATAGCATGAATTCCACCATTCAATGAGACTCTGATGTAGTTTTCATTATTCTTCATAAAGACTGTAACTCGAAATTATATTATTGTATGCTGTTTATAATTACTTTTTCAATCTTTTTATTTCATTCTTTTGATTCTCGAGCTGCTGTCACATTTGAATCAATTGATTATTAAGTTTAGTTATTAATTGTGATTTTTGTTGATTTTCCCATTGGTTATATTCCAAAAGTTTTTTAACTTTTACAAGCTCTGCAAGTATATCAAAGTAATCAATAGAAATGTTTGCATTGTCTTCATTGGCATTGAATCAAAGTCTTTTATTGTCTTGTTTGGAATCTGCTAAATGTTGAAAAAGTTAATCAGTAATAATAATCTGATATAATGTCTCTCACAAAGCAAATAAAAATCTAAAGAAGAATAAAGATTGAAAAGTTTAGAAAAATAATCATGATAGAATACAAGTCATTGGGCCATGTCCTGAGTATTAGCATGTCGTCATCTTAGTAACTTCTTTATCTTATATGGTTTCAATTTGACTTTACTGTATGTTTTAATCAGGTCTGCAAAAAGACATGGAAGGTTTTTTGTACTAGTATGCTGTTTAATAGATATTACAAAAAAGTTTTCAAAGTTGAAACATAGTCAGATAATATTTTGTCATTTTACTCTTGCCAGCAATAGTTCATAATAGTTCTTGACTTTTAAGAGTTATTTGCTTTTTTTAATATTAATTAATTGAAATAAATTATTGTGGATTATTGAAAGTAAATGTCTTTTAGTATATGCTTGTATAATTTTGGGTATTGTAAAAATTTACAAAGAATATATAAGTAATAAGGCTCAAAAAATGTTATGAAGCCAATCAAATTTCAAAAGATTATTCTAGATTCGATTTCCATATCGAATAAAAGTTTTGACTGTATTATTTTATTAAGGTATCTGGGTCAAGAACTAATCTGGAAAATTCAGTAGGTAATATATAGTACCTTTGACCAATTAAATATACTAGGTAATTATGTATGCAGATTATATAGTATTAGCATAAAAATTGTAGTAGGAGGCATGATGTGACATGTGGGGCCCGGCGTGGTACCGCATGAGGGATCGATCATGCATCAATCATGCATGACTGATGGGTGCAGAGTTTGTCAAAGTTTGATAATTCTGCATAACATGATGATAGATTTAGAGACACGTCGCAATCATGTATAAATAGCAACAATATCCAATATGATGTATAGCCATGATAGGCACAATAAAATAATGAATTAATAAAAATCCAATTGTGTACTAGTGCAATGATAATTAACAAACTTACCTTATTTGTCTCTAAGTCATTCTAGAAAGAATCCACAAGCCCTGCAGTTTGGCAGCAAAGGATTAGAAGAGAAACCAACCTAGAGAAGAGGAAGATAAGAATAATTATCACTATACGTACCTTTGGTATCGCCAGTGACATAGACCCACTCTCCCAACATTGTACGAGTCTTGGTCCAGATTAGTGACAGACTCGCCATTGAAAACAACAATAGCTACTCATTTCACAAAAAATAAAGTATTATAAAATTTATAGATGTTACTAGTAATACACCTTTAATCAATTTCACTGCTAGAGGTATAAGAATTTATATTCCAAGACACTTACAGATTAATTTTACAGATCATAAATTAGCCTTATATTTCTCACATTTTGTAACTCTAATAAGATATTCAATGTTATCTTTATCAATACAATAATATTTAGGATTCTATAGTTACTTTAACTGGTTAGTCCAATCTGAACCTTTAATGATTATATAGTTTCGCTGATATAATATTTTAAAAACAATATCATATGTTACATTAGCTAATCTCACATATAATTGATTTTTTTTCTCAAATTCCCAGTCAATATAAAAAATACAAGAAGTTATACCTAAATATTTCTTATTATCAGGAGTACCATCATTTCTTACTGCCTTTCAAATCTATTTTGCCAAAGATTTAGGTCTCTTCTTGTAATTTCTGTAAGCTTGCTGAATAACTGTTGCATAGAAATTCTCAAACTGATAGTTATATTGTCTCGTAATCAAGAATTTCCAAGATTGTTTCATAGATAGTTTATTAAAATAGTTATACAATATATTGGAGAATCTAACCCAGAATAGGCAGATCATGTATAGTGTATATAAAACATTTTACTATTATATTAGGCAATTATATATGCAAATTATATAGTGCAAAAAAATAAAGTATAAGTTATATATTGTGCCTTTAGCTAAATGATATTAATCTTCAATAGTTTATAATTAATATATTTCTCAGTCATTAAATAAATATAATTTTTGTATCATTTTTCAATTTAATATGAATTGATTAAAATGGTCTATAGATGGTAATAAGTTATTTTGTTTAGCATACTGAGATAAAATAAATATTTGCTTATGGTCTTATTTGAAGTCAATAATTGATAAGAAGTTGGTAAAATTATTTTTTGTCTAGTAGGTAAAATATAAGCTGGCTTGAAATTTGAAGCATTTGACATAGTATCTTTTGCTTTAAATTATATATAATTTTTATAGCTAGCTATAAAATTTCCATCAATATTATATGATACTGATACTAACTTATCCTTTTTTGAGTATAGGATAGATTGGGAGAAAAGTTTTAGATGAAGATAATTAATTTTAGTCTTTTCTTGTAATATACAGTATATTACTTATATTGCCAGATCTGAAATTCCCTCCTATTAATAGATTTGAGAATTTCTTTTCTTCTTGCATATTCATTCAAAATACTATTTCCAGAAATGCATCTCTTCAAATAGTTAAGATATAAAGACTAAAGAATCACATACACTGCAATATATTGTTACACTTGATTTTTGCACAATATTTTATCTTACCCTTGTAACAATCCACTAGCATTTAGCCTCTGAAATACTTCCTTCTTGTTTTAGAATTTCTGTACCATTAATCTATAGTAACATCTTTGCCTACTTCGCCTACTTAGCTATCTTTGCCTATTCTAGAATATTCTTTAATTTTATTTACTATTATTACTTTGCTATCTTTGCCAGAGTATTCATCTCTATCAAAGTAAGTATAGTTGACTATTTTGATAAAGATATCATCTCTTCCATAGTTATTATCTTTACCAAAGTATACTATTATCATGTACGCAAATTATATACCAAAAATATGTATATAAACACCTCCAATTACTTCTAGAATTGCAAGGTTGAACTTTCCTCTTTATTAATAAAATAACTTGACCTTTACAAAACAAATCACCATTGCCTCTTTCGCTTGACCTCATACACCTCAGTACTGTACTAATTTTAGTACACCCTTATGAACTTTAGCATATCACATTGGTTCATCCATACAAAGTATCTCCCTGCTATTAGTTCTCTGTTCATATCTTTCTCCTGAGGTAGGAAGATATATAACAAATTGGTGGTGATTGTGAGATGCGCCTCATCCATAAGACGCAAGTTTGATAATCAGGCCCCAAAAATGAAACGCCCTTTGATTATCACCCCTGAGAAATTGCTTCTGAGGAAGTTTGATCTTCACAGAAGCGATGAAAATGATATTGTGTCTGTGACGATCCAAGAAACAATAATCAATTCTGCTCCAACGATGTTATCCAAGAAGAATTTGATAGCTGGTATATGCCGAATAGATTATACATGTGGTAGAAATTGGTAGATCCTTGACGCAATTGATGCAATTATTTGACACAATTAATTGAGTTACTATTAAAACATATAAAATAATTAAGTCAGACGCAATTATTTTTGAGGATTTTAACAATTGAGTCAACAGCAAAATAATTTATACCACATGTATAGAATAGATGAAGAAGCATCGTACTGACCTAAAAGAAGTCCAAATCCAACGATAGAAGCTCCGGAATGGCTTGCGCAGAAGAAAAGCGAATCCTTGAAAATGACAATCACAGAATCGGCAGTATATGTACCTCCCCCCTAAAAAATTAAAATATGAAAAAAATGATGAATTAATGATGCCGTAACGGTAAGAATTCGCTGTTTCAAAAGAAAAAACAATACTACTGGTTATGAATACCTGTTCCGATGGTAATGCCAGGTTACAGAGAATTCATAAGGAGACTTCACCAAGCACCAAGAATTCGAAAGAACTAGTGAAAGGTAAATCAGCTGAGAAACTAGAATCAAGTCGCAAGAAATGAAAGTACAAGTTCTGAAAGACAAAAAAAAAAATTGAATTCGAGTACCAATGTCGCCGCTGGAAGTATAAAGGAAAATTCAAGTTCACCGACCTTAGTGCACAAGAAGGAGGATGGCGTTCCGATCAAAAAAAATAATAATAATAATAATAATAATAAATAATCGTTCTACCTGTGATCAATTTACCAACAGTGATTGCAAGTTATTCAAAGACCTCACCTTCCTTAAAAAATCAAGCTTCCGGCGAAATCTTTACAAATGAACGTCACCGGCTAGCGAAGAAACTAAGAAAAAGTCAGGAAATGAAAGATATCCGATGATTATGTAGACTTTCATCGATCGATATTTACGTTTGTAAATACAAAAGAAAATTACAACGTATTAAACAAAAAGAAAAAAAAGGATACTTACCTGGAGCGAGTCATCAGTCCCGAAGGTTATGCTGGGATATCGACAATTATGAAGAAACGCTGTGGCACCAAAAGAATCAAGGGACGAGTTCCTAAAGAAAGAAAGAACCGTCCAGAAAAAAAAAGAAAAGAATGGCAAAGAAACCAAAGGCAAAGAACCAAACTTACTGATGAGACTCCGATAGCTCATGCCAGAGACAATAGATATCACCGAGGGTCAAGGAGAACCTGCAGATGGCAAATCGAATATGAAGCATGGGGCTAGGGAAAGACTGGTAAAAAAAAGTTAGAAGCCAATGGTAAAACATCACAAAAGAAAGAAAACGCCGCGACTTATCAGAATTACACCAAGATGAGAGAATACGACCAAGACCAATGATTGGAAAATGCTGAAATGCCATCATGATTGAGATTACGATCACGATCACGAAGAAAAAAATGTTGATCATATGAAGTCTACAAAAGATAATGCATGTCTAGAATATATATGCATACATATATATTCTCAAAGATGTCAAAGCAGCAAGGAAAGTCTAACGCTCTGACAAGCCCCCTGCAATAATCAACACCATGACCGACGAGAGATATACTGCCCCAATGATTGGAAATACCAGGACAAGACCGTAAAGAAGACACCGATGCAGAAAGAAAAAAAAAAAAAGACAAAAATGGTTAGAAAAAGAAGTAACCATACACAACAGACGAAACACAATAAAAAACTTACCTCACCTTCTGAAGATGACAGCCCCAAAGATCAAATGCCAGGATGCTGTCATAATTGTGATCATGATCATGATCACGATCGTGAAACATTGTTAACACTCGAGAAAGCGATTTTTTTTTTTTACGAATCTGACATCTCATCATCATCACATTTCACATCTTTTTTGATGGCCACAACACTGCCTCTGGTTTCTAATAGTTGACATGGGTCAAGAGGGTTGTGTCAATATCCTCGTGAATGCAAGCTTAGTTCATCGAATTCCTCAGAATCTTCGGCCAGCTGCGATGGTGGCATTCGGACGCATGCTGGAATAGCGAATTAGATCATTACGAGGAGAATTATTGCAACGACTATGATTCCAAGTTGGTCAACCCCACATTAGATGATGAACGTTTGGCAACTCGAGACATAGAAGATGAATGGACCAAGAACTCACCTAAAAGGCATATCTACGTCATAACCTCCCATATCAACCATCACATCGAGTCATAAACAGAAATTGCTTGACCGAATCGTGTTGTTGGAGGCATTAATTAACAAGTCTGTCCATGAGTTTGACATTATATATTAATGGCTGAGGATATAATAACAATGAGACATTCAAGTATCCAGTACCGTAATGACAATGACTGTCCCGAAAATAAATGTCATCATAATCATAATCACAATCATGATCACGATCACACTCCCTCGATAATGATACCACCATCATCAGCAGCACAATGTAGACAATGACAGAAAAGAAAAAGAGAGCCTACGGAATAGCTTATCGCTGCTGAACCAATCAATAAAGCTGCATCAAGACCAACTTTGACGAACCCACGATCCTCAACGGTGATGATACCTCTACAAATAGAAGAAAGAGATATGATAATCATATACCTCGACATCATGAAACCCACTAATATACACATATCTATATCTTGCCTATCAAGATTAAACAGCACCGCATCATCAAGATTCTATAAACAAAAATAAAAAACAAAAGTGATGTTAATTATTACCTTACCCCTTTTAATTATCCTTATCTTTTTATAATTCCTTCATTATTCCTTTGATTATCTCTACACTCTATTAGCATTTAGTAATATATATATTATTTTACTTTTCTATTTTGATTTGAAAAAATATTATTATTTTGCTCTGGTAATTTCATAAAGCCATTATATAGCTGTAGATGATCTTGATTCTTATGAATCCATAGCATATGCTGGTTAAAGGCTGGTTAGTTATAAATTACAAAATTGTAGCAGAATGATGTTTGAGGCTATAGTATTTTATGAAATTATCAAAGTGATTAATATTGTAACAGTGTATCGGCGAGTCTGTCACTCACTCTAGCGGAGATTCGCGTAACCGTTACAAGGGTAAGTAAACGAAAGGTGATTTGAGGTGTGTTTTATTTAACCAAGTCTTTATTAATTTTCTTTTACTTGCTATGTCTATATGTATCACGACTACCCTATCTTTTACATTTTTTATGTTATTTATACTTCTCTTTTGTTACATCTAGCTATGACGTCTTGGCTATGGAATAATGAGCGCTAATAATAATAATGTCATGACTAAGCTGGATGACATAATTCTTTCTACAATCCTCCCCAACTCTCTCTTTATTACCTAATATTTCATAGTCGTCGGGGTACCAATGCGACAATTGGTCACGTGACAGACATCGCGTCCCAATTTTACCTATTACAATATTATTTTTTCAACTTATTTTATATTTAAACATTTTTTTATTTATTTTTATAATTTTATAATTTTTATATCTTTTACAACTTATCAAAAACATTTAAAATAAATATACTTCTATGACGTCTATTGGTATAATGCTTATTTTTCAATATTATCCTATATCCTTGTGTTAACCTTGTCAAATATTTATACTCCTGAATCAACCAATGAATATTTATTTATTTTATTTTTATTTTTATTTTATTTTTAAACACCAGCTGGGCCTTGCTTTATTAACTTTTAAATACTTTATACATATCACATTT